TCTGCCTTGCTGGTTAGAGAAGTCTTTTGGCCTTTGTGGTAATTATGGAAAGTGGTGTGACATAAATGTAATAGTGTTGTGAATATTGCAGATATTATTGGTGTTACATGACTGGTGGATGAAATAGTGAAGGGTTTAATGAACAACACTGTATTTGAATTTAATAGCATGGAAAGATGAGCCATACATTTTCTCCAGTGATTGTAACAAGAAAAAATATTCGCCCTGTGGTGTTTAATGGAAGGGTTAATTATTATTTTGTATAAAGATATTCAATTTAAACTTCCAATTGATCCTACAATCAGAGACATTAAAATGTTAATTGACATAAGGGTATTAATCTCTATTTGTATGAAGTTAATGTTACTGGTCCATTTGTTTAATTGTCAGCAGTAATGAACGGTTAATTCGTTCATCCCTGTTGATTCTTTGTGCCTGTAATGTACTGATATTATACTTAAAATTTATCAAATTTCCTTTGCATTAACATTTTAATTTTGAGGGGGGGGGGATGTTGTCTGGTAGAAACATAGTGAAATTTTGGAGGATTATACTGCCTCCGCCTCCAGGGTCAGAGAGTAAACCAAGCAAGCAGCAAGCAGAGAGAAACTCTGTCCATACAGTGAAGTAAAATGAAATGCAGTTCTCTTCACAGACTTAATCACATTATGCCAGCTGTAATCTGTTCCCATTGAAGTCAGATAAAATGACACACCTGTGCAATTGACAGTTTCCATCATGCACATATGTTGTCCTGTTCAGTAACACAGGGACCACTGAGGTATCTGCAAATAGGGCATGTTATTTGGAAGTAATTCATAATTAGTGAGCCATGTATGAAGTGTGAACCATGACACCTATATGATTTTTCTTAGACAAGTATTAAATCAGTTTTTTCAATCATTCCACCTGTTTTTATTCATTATATTCTATTCTGTCTTGAATCATTTCAATTTTTATATGGTTTGATATGTACATGAAGTCCTGTGTGTTTCCCTGTTGAAGGCATTTTTATTCCTTATATACTGATATCATACTGGTATTTCTTGATGTTCTGTAATTTATAATTGCATGAATGCATAATCGGGTAAGACAATGAACATGAGCAAGAGCCATGACTGTCTAGTTTTGTCTGCAGTAGAATAAACCACAGATCCTCATTTATTTGCTGTTATGATATATTCAGTACATACGAGTAAAAGCTGTTAACACAGAATGTTTAAAAATAGTTTCATGAATTAGTGTTATGTAACCAGTCTGAGTACATACTTTGTATTTAATATACATTTGTGGCAATGTATATAATTTATCTCAGTGCCAGATTTAATATGACTGACAATTCAGAAATTACTGTTCTGATATTGAAAAGTAAATTTATGTTCTCCAACTGTCTTTTGACCTTTAATTTATAAAAAAAAATCTCTAGTCTAAAATACAGTATTGTATAGGTCTGTTATTCAGAATTGTATTGAATTGTATTTTATTTCATCCGTTTTGCTACATAGTAACACCTGGACACGTCGTTCAGTAATACAAGTTTACAAAATAAATCTACAAAGTTACAAGCATACTACCAACATTTGTTACAATCACAAGCAATATATAAATGCAACATTCCAAAAAATATACAGACTACTATATACAGCCCATGAATGGCTATGACATCCAAACATAAGTACTTGCACCATCCACTTTTTTATTAAAACTAACAAATTCATTTATCGTATAAAAAGAATGTTTCAATATAAATGATTTTAAGTGTTTTTTTAAAGCTGAAAAACCCACCGAGTTTTTTATTTTGTTTGGCACCTTACTATACAATTCTATCCCCATAATTACCACACTTTTTTTAAATAATGTAGTTCTGCAAAATTTAACATTATTTAAAAAAAGTGTGGTAAATATGGGGATAGAATTGTATAGTATTGTATAGTAATTTCAGAATTGAACAGTAAATGTAGTATGTAATGTAGCCTTATCATTTCTCACAGGCATGGAAGGAAATGCATGAGATTGACTTCCAGTAGCAAACCTTGCATGAATATTATTATTCTGCTTGAACAGTTCATAATAGTGACAGGCAGTCTGAGACAAGACAGATATGATTCCTCTTTCTTTTAGAAAATGTGGAAGAGGATTTAAGGCTATATAGGCTATAAAATTGCACACACTGGTGACTGAAATATATACATGAACTGCTGTGGCAGTTGGAGAATATATTCCTATACATCATGGACAAAAACATTTTTGTTGCTAAAAATTATACATATTGAGATAAATGTCTGTGGGTTAGGAAGCAGATGTGCAGTAGTTACTTGATTTGTGACCCTTACATTGGTAAGTTTTCTGTTCCACCTCAGCAGTTGCATATATTATTTCATACATTTATTTGTAAATACTGCATGACTATAAATGATTATTCCATGAAATGACTTGTAAGAATTAGAGCCTAATTCCTTAAAGGGTTTGCATTTGGATAAAAATTGTAATAACCCTTATTCAGAGACAAACAACTATGGTATCAATCAAAGTAATTTAGTTTAAATAAAATATGAAGTTTTAAATTTCAAACTTCATTTTGTTAGCGGTGGAGACTAATGCCGACTTATTTGTGTGGTGCATATTTAACACTCCCTTATAACAAAGCACATCACTGTAATTATTGTACAGAGAGTTTTTAACTTTGTTGACCAGTTCACAGCTTTGCGCTTCATGACAGCCAGTGCACCGCTGGCTGTGAGGCACATACAGATTTTGCCAATGAATCAGTATGCCTGATGGCTGATAACATTTGAAGTTAAGGGAAGTTAGTAACATTGTGGACCGCCTAATGGCATTATGTTTCAGAGCGATCAATGCGGTTCATGCATGGAAATTTGTTTATGATTTGTCAGCAGTGGGCAGCAGTTATCAGTTCTATTAGCCATTTATTCTCAGTTACAATTAGTGAGCAGTGAGTTCTGTCATGGTGCGGTATGCTTTAGAGTAACCTGTATTTCTGTATGACACCTATGTGAAATATGGATCTGCTAAAAAGTGATGACATAAATTTTGTGATGAAAGAGTTCCCAGCAGACAAACAATTCCCAGTTTGGCGGATAAACTTAGATCAATAGGACTCTTAATAGACGAGAAACAAAAACGTAAGCACCAAGTACTTGCTGATAAGTTTAATGACATAGGAGCCAGACTTGAACATCTACTGAAACATCTAGCTCAAAGAGATTGGAGTGTCAAAGACTAATGCAAGAAAGGCAACACAATTGCTGAATCTCAGACCCTATAAAATAAGAGTAATCCATGCCTTTCAGTTGCTCTACCCAGCTAGCAGGGTTCATTTTTGCAGTTGCTTTCTGCAGTCTGTCATCGAAGGTGAGATCAGTCTGCAATGGGCATTCTTTTCTGATGAAGCGTGGTTTCACTTGCATCAGTATGTAAATATACAAAAAAATAATTGCTACTGGAGTCACAGAATCCATGCCTAACCCATGAAATCTTGCTCATACAGTGAAAGTTGGTGTCTTATGTGCTGTAGGTGCAAGGATTGTACCTGTGTTTTTTAGTGAAACAATTAATTGTGAAAGATATGCAGAGGTCATTCTCAGGGAATTCTTTCCAGAGTTAACAGAAGAGAAGAGAGACTATGGCTGGTTTCAGCAAGACTCAGCGACTGCTCACACTGCACATACGTCTGTGCAGGCTTTGTCTTGATATCTTCAGGGACAGAATTATCAGCAGTGGTATTTGGCCAGCACGTTCTCACCTGATCTTAATCTTTGCGATTTTTTCTCCTGGGATTTTTTGAAGGGAAAGGTTACAACAGTAACCAACAGGTGGAAGAACTAAAAGAAAACAATCAGAAGGAAATTGCAAATATTCCTGAAGAAGAGCTTCAAAGGCTAAATCAGAACCTCTTCCACCAGTGTGAGGAATGTCTACATGTAGAGGGACAGCATTTTCAACACCCCTGTGAGATCTGTGAAGAAAGCTAAAAACTACCCTTCATTCCGAATGTTTTCGGCAATCAGTGATACTGATTCATCAGCAAAATTGTATGTGTCTCACAGCAAGTGAGATTTAACCACTATGCTGGATGTCAGATTAGTAAAATAATGTCTTTCAACCTTCATGCAGTTATCTTTAGGTTCTGTGTATTAGAAACCTTATTGAATAAGTTAGTGCACTGTTACTTGCACTGTAAGTTAAATCTGATGACCAAAATATTTATTGTAAAATTCAGGATAAAATTTATATTAAACTTAATATTCAATTTGTTTTTTGATATTATAAAATACGAGATGTTATTCATCATATTTCCCTTATTCTCCTGATAGCATGTTACCGGCATAGAGATTGGACTGGAACTATTGGTATGACAGCTCCAGCTGATATTGTCAACAATTACTAACTGTGCATTAGGCGAATTAAAGTCTCATCCAAGGGTACAACAGGTTTCTTGTTTTTTCCTCATTCTTTTCAAATTATTGTCCCCCCCCCCATGCTGTGATACCATTTTATATCATTAAGAGTAGCCTATTACTTTTACATTTTTAAAATTCCAAAACCACTCTTCTTAGATATTCTCTCTTTCCAGGGAAATTCATTTCTTCTTTGGGGTCACTTATTCAGTTTTTATTGTTGTAATTCTTCTTTTATTGCACAAAGAATATATGCATTAAGATAATAATTGTAATGGACTCCATGAACAATTACTGCACTCAACACAACCTGGAAATGCAAAGCACAGGCTGAAGTTGAGACTGGCTGGTTACCTTCTGTTTGTCTCTGAATACATCTGCCTGTATATTTGCGCTGCAACGCAATGCAATGCAATGCAATGCTGGCTGTTCTGTTTGTTGTACTGAGCTTGTTATACTGATGCCGCATTCCTCCCTGTTCCTGCTCTCTCCTTCCCCACCTTTGTGTGCGTTTGCACCACTATTACCTCACCTCCTCTATGTGTGTGCGCAATTCCCACCCTCTGCATGTGCGCAACACAGAACACTTTGTCACAGGATCTGTACCATCAGAGCTACACTCGTGTTGGCGTTGTGTTTGCATCCATCACCAACTACCATGAATTCTACATGGAGCTGGATGGCAACAATCAAGGAGTTGAATGCCTTAGGCTACTTAATGAGATCATAGCTGATTTTGATGAAGTGAGTAAATGTCATTAATGCCACAAATATTTTTTTAAATTTATATAGGATATCAGTTCTGCGTGAATATTTTGTGTGTTGTATGTTGTACGTGCATGGTGCATGTTTTGTTGTGAGTGGTATATTATCCATGTTTTGTGGTGTGTTGTGTGTGGCATTGTATGTGCTACAGTATGTGAGGTGTGTGATATATATGTCATTATGTGGTGGGTGCTACAACACACAGAGCTTTTTGATGAAAAGCAATACTCATGCCACAGAGAGATTTCGAACCCCTCCATACCAGATTAAGGTAACTGAGCATCAGGAATATGTTACTAATGGAATGCATTTGCTCAGATTTTGTTTCTTGAAACAAAATTAGATCAGAGGCCTCACTAAAAGAACACAAGACAATTCCATGAATCAGAAGTTGTATCAGAGGTTTAAATTGAAGCTACCTTTATTAATGGCACTATATGTTTATTCTAAAATACTTAATACCTTTTGTTTATCTGTGACCATTGAAATTTATTAAAATACACACTAAATATGTATGTGGCATAAAATATAGTCCTTTTGAGGCCTGTAAATTTTATTTGAAACATTTTTAGGCATATGTGAGACACTCTTTCTGTTTGAAATGAAAATTTGGACACATTTTGAGTTGAGATGATAATCAAAATATTGTTCTGTTACATTTTTTCTCGCCCTATTCACATTTTACAACACTAGCCACTTTTCACCATGCACTAATTTGTTTAAGTTTGCCTTTTGTTATCCAGATCCTTTTTCAATGAACATTTTATCATAAATTATATTTTCAAAACAATCAGCAGTTTTTTAACCATGTGCATGAAGAGGGAATAGAGCAACATATTCTGTTGATGATTTCATTCTTGCTAGCATTGCTGATCATTATGATTTTGATTGACTGGATAGTTTACATGCTACTGCATGAAGCAAAAGCGATTGTCTAAAATTCTCAGTAATCTGAGACTAAGAAATCAATGTATAAATCAAAATTGAGATATTTTTCTATAAATTTGATGTTGAAAATTCTGGATTCACACATGCTTAATTTTTTTTTATATTGCGTGTTTGTACATGTGTATATATGTTAAACAGTGTACAAAGAGGAATAATTTATTTCTCTGTGCATTGTAAAAGCTGCGCTTTTGTTTAATTGCTGTACCAACATTAGACTTTATGTCTGTATCAGGTATCTTGGATGTCCATTCTGACTGCAATAAACAGTTCACATTTTATTATAAAATTTTCTCAGCAGCTGTCCCTTGGCTATTACTGATGATCATCCTTTCTTTCACATGCATTTCTGTTGTTGAAGAGACTATGAAGAGTACAGATATTGCGCTGTCCAGCTCTCATCATTAGTCTTATCCATTAGGTCTCATGTAGCATGTACCCCTTCCTTCATTCTGAAGACATAAACAGAGCCACCCCCCTGCAATTTTTATTACCTTCTTTGTCCAGACTACGGACAGTATTTTTCATCATTAAATGTTAGACCAAGCCTTAGAATTATGCATTTTAAAATGTTTATGAAAAGGATGCTAATGCAGGCAAAATCCTTCAAACTCTTTCACCACCCATATTGTACTCTGTCCTTATAACCTTGCAAGCAGTCACATTACTGCATTGCATTAAAGTTAGAAATGATCTGAAATATATGTACAGGCAGGTGACATTAGCTAACACATTTTTTGTCATGACTGTCTAATGGCCTCTTATGATTGTTCTCTTTCTTATTTCACAGTTGCTGGGTGAAGAACGTTTTAAAGCAATAGACAAGATCAAGACAGTTGGTTCTACATACATGGCTGCTGTAGGTCTCATGCCTGATCTTCGTATATTAGATGAAGACGAAACAACGGCAGGATTTTATTTAAGTACACTAGTCGAATTTGTGTTTGCAATGAGGGAAAAATTGCTCAATATTAATGAGAACTCGTACAACAACTTCATGTTAAGAGTGGGTGAGTTTAGCTGTTAATGACTTGTTTCATTTGAAGAGTAAGAAAGAGGTTCTGCATCTTCCATGGAATGTATCTCAGCAGGAGGCAAGATATCCATGCACTGCTTTCTTCAAATTCCATCATATTGATTGTTTTTCACAAACAGTAATCATATACTAAAAACAAACCATAATAAAATTTATAGAATATACTTGTGTTTTGATTGGGATGTTGAATTTTTTAATAAGCAGGTGGGAATGGTGTAGATGCATTTTCTCAAAGAGGGTGTGTAATTAAGAATTAAAATTGGACAGTGAAGAAGAATTGTTAATGACAGATATTAGTACAATAATAAAAGAACTCTAATATGAAGTGACTTCATCACTTTGAAAAAGTGTCTGAAACTGAATCCTGAAGCTGCCCTGTCACAGTACGCAGTTAAAAAGGTGAGATGTAAGGGGCATCTGATAAAATGCAGAAGGAACAACTTTAATCTTTGTAATTGTAACAGATCAGAATCATATCTTGTGGTGGTGATCACTGTCTCACAGGAGAAGTAGTGTTTAATTCTCATTCTTCTTGTGATAAGGATTTGTGAAATGAAGGAAAGAAACAAATGAAATGCAATTTCTTTGTTTTGGCTGTGATATAAAGTAACCAAAATTGTATGTTTCAGGAATCAACATTGGACCAGTAGTTGCAGGTGTAATAGGTGCAAGGAAACCCCAGTATGACATTTGGGGCAATACAGTGAATGTGGCAAGTCGTATGGATTCTACTGGACTGCCAAACCATACACAGGTAAACTCACAACAGCATTTAATATATTCATATTTAGGCAACCTGTCTGCCTGGACCAGCAGCAGTACACATTCCACTGTGTATTATTTAAAGTAACATAGGATGCATTCTCTCAAATCTTCAGTGCCCAATTTGCAACATATGTACTAATGCTTGAAAGTGTGACATATTCTCCTTTGTGAAGAGGAGATTGCTCTTTTAGTCACCTCAATGTGTAGGAAGTGAAACAGTCTTTCTCTCATAAAACTATTTCTCTTTGCTTCTTGATATTGTTTGTGTGTTATGATGGACTAAGATGTTGATGTTACAAGAAATGAACTGACAGCTGCTACTAATTGGCAACATCCATGGAGTAGAGTCCATTTTGAGAAGCTAATAGTCACTCAGCTGCTCAAGAATTCCCCTGTAGTTTATGGAACTCAAAGGTTCTTACTGTGTTCACAAGAGAACGACACTTGTCTCTTGTGCTGAACAAATCAAACCAGTCCACACCCTACCAACCTGTCTGGAGGTCATTTTAATATTCTTCTCCCATTTACTCTGGGTCTTTTTCAGATTCTCTCACCACAATTTTTTTTGGTATTTGTGATACATTCCATGCATTCTTTGTATGCTGCCCATCTCATTCTCCTTATTCCATTATTTTAATAGTGTTGAAGAGTACGAATTGAGAACTTTACCTTCTTTCCCCCCAGCCTCCTGTTACTTCCTTCCTCTTCAATCAAGATATCCTCTTTAGCACCCCGTTCTTAGACATTGTCAGTCTTTGTTCTCCTAATATGAGAAACAAATGTTTGCACCTATGCAAAACTACAGAACTTCAAATCTGGTTTTGCACAGAAAACACTTCCAAGCATGACAGAGTTTCAAGGCTTATATTCATCACACAAAACAAATACAGTATTAATAATTTTCTTCGTTAATATTTACTTCAGCATATCTGAGGGTTTTACAAAAACTGCCATGTTGGAACATTTATTAAGCCACTGCACATTGCTGTACTCTCTCTGTTTCTTTTGTGTTACTGATTATCTACCTGATAATGATTTTTGTAAAACTAAATAACATAGTGGAGTAAATAATAAAGAAGGAAATTATTGACACTATATTTATTTTTATGTGACTTTCTAATTTTAGTGCTAGAGAAGCAGGAGGTTACCTTCCCACACTGAATGTGTTAACACTGCAATTCTGTGCAGGTTTGTCACCAGAGATCATATCTTGTCTATATGTTGCAATTAATCTAGGCATATTATTGTTTCTGGTTCTGACACCATTACTTTAATTCTACACATAAAGTCAGTGCATATCTCAGAATTAAGACTGAAAGGATAAAAGGGAATTCTAGGCAAATGTGCAATCATTGTTGTATATTTATTTAATTTTTTATTTGAGGTAAAATGATTCATTAAATCGGTTGTGGAGATAAAAGAAATGACTTCCACTTTTCCTTTAAGGTGGATGATTTATTTGATATTACAAAAATTAAGTATTATTTTAATTATTCATTAATGTTTTGTGAGTAGTTTTGTCTAATCTGTAGCCTGTCTGTAAGTACACAATATCACAAGAAGTGTTACTGTATGAAATACAAAATGCACATGAATTGGCTTGACTGTAAATTTAATCTTATCCCTTTCAGCAGGATGTTGTAATGCTGCTATAATTCATCCTTCCCCCATTTCCTTCTTTTCTGACTTCTTCACATTGCATGTAAATAATGATATAAAGCTCAGGAATAACTATATATTGTATCAGGCTTAACAGAACGTTAGCTTTATTGCTTGTGTTTATTCTATAAGATAAAATAAAATTACATATTGTCCAGCAGCTTTGTTGTTAATATAAATTTCAGTGTGCAGAAATATAGTAAATGCTTGTTCAGCACCAGCTTGAATATACAAGGTGTTATTGGAAAGTTCCTGGACTGTTATTGTTGTAACCACCTCTGTGAAAGAAGATGAGAAGGGAGGCCATGGTCACACTTGTGAAAGCCTATTGTGTCAGTGTACCATGTGACAATGCTCTCTAAACATGCATTGTTTTTACACACAAGTGCTTTTTCATCTCTGTGTTTCATTTTGTCTGCAATGGATGGCAAAATTGAACAATATGTCTGCATGAAGTTCACATGAAGCTCAGTAAATCCGCTACTGAAACCCTTGAAATGTTTCATGAGGCTTTTGAAGAACATTCTTTAAGCCGGACAGCAGTTTTTGAATGGCATTCACCTGTCAAGACCAGTCAGTTGTCAGTTGAAGATGCTGAACATTCAGGGTGACAAAACATCAGCAAAACAGCAGAAAATGTTGAAAAAATTCTTGAACTCGTCCATGAAGACCGTCACTGAAGAATCCATGAGTTTGCAAACACTGTTGGGATCAGTTATGGAGTTTGTCAGGAGATCTTAACAGAATATTTGAACATGTCCCTGAAAACCACAGAGTTTTGTGACTAACAACATGGTTATTCTTCCCCATCCTCCCTACTCGCCAGACTTAGCCCTCTGTGATTTTGCTTTGTTTCCCAAATTGAAAATGAAACCGAAGGGGCGATGTTTTGAAACAGTGTCTGACATCAAAAGGGGATCACAAGCGGTACTCGACAGTATTAAGCAAAATGACTTCCACAGTGCTTTTGAAGCATGGAAAAAGTGATGGGATCGCAGTATACATTCCCAAGGAGACTATTTTATAGGAGATGGCAGCCAAAATTGAGTAAGTTAGCCAGCATTTCTTTTTTCACCTAGTCTGGGAACTTTCTGATACACCTCATACATGTATAAACAAATGTGAACAGTTATTTGCTGAACTAGGAAAATGTCAATATATACAGTCTGCCCCCTGGCTATTATCCCGAATCACTACAGTTCAGTCATCCTAATGTCAGGGTGATGCTTTTATCTTCTAATGCCACATAAATCTAGCAAGATCTAGACCAAAGTGTTATCATAATGTATAAGTCTTGTTGCACTGTAGATGTTTCCAGGCACGGAATCCAAACTGTAGGTTACTTAAAACAGGATAGATGGGTCCATTCATTTGTGAATGTAAAAATGTACATATCAGAGTACTAATGTGAGACTTTATGCTACTGCATTAATGTACTCCCATGTACCACATAAAGTATTTACTTTTTGTAAAATGGATTTATTGTTTTTGAGGAACCAAACCCCCACACTGGATGAAGGTTTATTGTAAAATATTGCTTAATATGATGCCTTATTGATTTGAGCAGGTAACTGAAGAGGTTTACCAGGTGCTTAAGAATTTCCCATATGAGTTCCAGTGCCGTGGTAAAGTAAAGGTGAAAGGAAAAGGTGACATGACTACTTACTTCCTCACTGACCGTAAACAGCCAGGCACAGTCAGGGTAGATGATCTTCCTGGTATGCGTAGCTCAGCTAATACTGGAGGTGGTAAGTCACTGTAACAAACTTGCATTTTGTTCTAAAAGACTTGTATAATCCACAAATATTATGTTTTTGGACATTATCCATTGTCTTGTCTATTTTTTAAAAACCATCCTGTTTCTTTTTAAACACGTTTCAGAGACTGGATTCTGTTCCCATCCTCAGAATCCAGTCTCTGAAATGTTGTGTTTTGAAAAAGAAACAGGACGGTTTTTAAAAAATAGACAAGATGATGGATAATGTCCAAAAACACAATACTTGTAGCAATATACCATCGTCACAGACTTTTAGATCTTATTTCTATAATCGAGTTCTCAATGTTTGTTATTAGTTTGGTGGCATTTTGACACTTTTTCATTGTGCAAAGAAAATCTGTGAGTTGCAAGGAAGTGTTGATGTTAATGTGTATAATAGTATGTCAGTCTACACAACACTATTCAGTATTTAAAAACAAAATAGACACTATTACAACAATATTTGTTGTTAATAAAAACAAATGTTGACACAATAGTGTCTGTTTTTAAACACTGAATATTATTGTGTAGTCTGTCCTACTTTTATATGCATTATATACTGTATTTATAACCCACAACAGGATGCATACTATTAAGATTGTAGATGTCGATCTGTGCATTGGTGGTAAGACAAGTGTTCATGTATGCACAGCTCCTTGTAATGAGAGAAGAGAGAATTAAATATGAATGTAAAGCCTGATACAAGCATATAAAATATTCTTTTCGTTTCAAGACCGTATAATTTTTGGGATGTAACTTATATTTTTGTGGCTTGTATTTGGGCAAACCTGATATTTGTTTCTCATATTTTACTGTATCAACCAAAAGTGTATATCATGTTCATATTAAAGATTAGAGCTGAATCTTGAATTGCAAAGTGCATGGTCGACATGTTGCTGGTGCCATGCTTTGTGGCTGCCATATATAAAATTAGCTTTAAAGACATTTGGCTTGATTATGCATTACATTATTATAGACTCATATCAAATGAGTAAATAAAATAACAATAGTAAAAAAACATTAATGTGAGTTCTCTTATAAACAAATACAAAAAGGTGAAGATGATCCTGTGATCAGACGTCATGCCATGAAGATGTATGGGGTACTAGAGGTACTAGATGAGATTAGCTGAAAATTGAATAGGCATTAAACACCCTCTGAACCACTGCCAATTTTCAAACTACTGGTAATCATCTTTTTATGATTTTAGCTCTCAAACAGTTCTGCACCTCATATGAAGCATAGTTTCTTGCTAACTGAGCAAGGTCTACGTGATGATCACTTCAGTTCAGGAAGAATATCTGCATGTCATGATATATTAATTCAGCTAAAACTTCAGTCAGATGTGATATGCAGAGCTTTTTCTTTTTTGTTATGACACAGTTTCGAGGTTGAACCATCTGCTAATCAAAATCTGGAAAGATGTAATTTTAAGTGATAGTGTCCTATATATTCTAGTTACTTAGCTCACTCAACTGGTTCCTATTCAGTTCCAGAAGTTACCTAGTTCTTTTAATAGATGCCTCCTGAAAAAGATCCTGTGTACATATATTTCTGTTCGTGTGTTGACTACCAGTGTTTCTCATGTTTTCTGTTCATTGAGTCACTGTTAGCCCTCTCATGAGCCTTTGCAAGATGTCATAAGCTGGTTCACATCCTGTTCTTGGCAGATGCTGGTAATTCCATTCCCACCAATCCCTGTGTGTCTTGGCACCCATGTCAGTTATACTCTTTATAAGATTCATCCAGTTTCTTTCAGGATTGAGTCCTATACCATCTTAGAGATGAACTAGTAATGGTCAGTTGGTTTAATTGGAACATCACTGTATGATAGAAAACGTCTATCTCTGTAGGATTTGAGGTTGTCACAGCAGTGGTTACGAAGAGTTATATTTTCTGTAACACCATGTAGTCCATTGAAAGTCAACTGACATTTCATAGGAACATATAACCTCCACCTTCAGAGTTGAAGGATAGGACAAGCAATAAACCAGTATGAAGCAGGTTGGAAGCAGAGTTCTGGCTCTGGCTTATTCTGCTATCCTGAAGATGGAAGTGATATGGTCCTTCGAAATGATGGTTGACTTTTAGTGAACTACATGGCAGTGTATCTCAGAAGACATAACTCTTCACAGCCTCTGTATTGTTCATTGTACAAGCCTTAATGGCATGTACTTCTGCTGAGTAGAGGTGTACCTCCACACATTCTTAACCTCAGCATTAGGTAGAGGTGAGTGACATCTTTACAGTCAGGCTGCTTTGCCCCCAGAGAAGGAGCCCTCAATACCTGTATGATAATTTTGTAGAAGATTTGGTGAGTCTCATGGTTGTCTGAATATAGTGGCCATGAGGAAAAATGTGTGTCATATAGCCCTTGGCCATGATGCTCACACACACACAAAAAACTGCTATGCGAACATTTTATTCCATGTACAGAACTATTAGCCTTATTTTGGACTCTATCCATCGTCTGGTATATATAAGACAAAAAACCACAACGTTTCGGAGACTGGATCTGTCTCTGTCCTCAGGTGGGTGGGGCAGGATAGACCTACTCAGTTGCGCCCATTAGAAAGAGCTAGTCTCAATCACTGGACAAACCCTGGTCAGTAGAGAACAGCCTATAAACACCTGACAACAGGTTCCATCATTGGGAGATAATAGAATCTCAGTAACTGGGGTTTGTCCAGTGATTGAGACTAGCTCTTTCTAACGGGCGCAACTGAGTAGGTCTATCCTGCCCCACCCACCTGAGGACAGAGACAGATCCAGTCTCCGAAACGTTGTGGTTTTTTGTCATATATACCAGACGATGGATAGAGTCCTAAATAAGCCTAATCACTCTGTACAGCATACACCATCATCAGAATCCTTTCAAGTCTATTTTAATCCATGTCACTTTATTTGCATGACCTAGACTCTGGGCTGAGTGTTGGAAAATGTGAGTATAGTATTAATTACATATCTTTATTTCACTCATATCAGGGAACATGTATGGTGGAGTTGCCACTCCTTTGACCCTGTTACACCAGATCCAACAAGGAAGTGCACCAGAGATGAATGGTAGAAGCAAACCACAGCGACCATCATGCTCTCGAGATGAGGGGGGTGGAAACGGTGGTGGTGGCAGCACTTCTTCACTTTCCCATCATGGTGGCTTCTCGAGTGGGATGCACCCCAGCTTGCTGCTGAGGAACACTTCAAGGCTCCCTCCCCTCCGTGAGAACAGTTGCAGGGAGAATGGTGGCAGTGGAGGAAACAGGCATGGGGAGTGCGAGCCGCTTCTCCCTCTGAGTGGTAATGTGATGAAGATCCTCCCCAGCCAACAACAACGATCCAATTACATCAGCAACAGTTCTGGTGGTAGTGGTGGTGGTGGTGGTGGTGGCAGCAGTGGTGGAGGAGGCGGAAACAAGAAGCTGCACCAGCAGAGGTCAGTGGGCGGAGGAGATTTGGACGACCTAGCAAACTTACCGCCACCCCCTCTACCTCCTCATAAAGGTGGTCTGCAATTCACAAACTTCCAAGGACATTCCTCAGCATCTTCCAAAGGTGTTCCTAGACCACAAGATGTGACATGTTACACACCTCCTTGGCCCCGGGGAGGGGGAGGGCTCTCTGAAGTGGGTAACAATCGTGTCAGTAGTGGCAATCATATGAGTCATAATAACAGCAATAACATTAACAATATGGCATCTTCACACCATCAGAACAGTACGGGTAATGACATGAATTCTGGTGCTGTGAAACCTTATATGAAACCACTACCCAAATTACCAGGAAAAGAATCGGCTTCTCCAAATCACGGACGACATCATCGAAGTCAAACAAGAGGACATAATGCATCAGCACCTCCATTACCCCCCCATCAACAACCTTTGCTTCCACCCTTACCCATGAGACCCGCAGAGCACTGCTATGCACGCACTGAGGAGGCATCTGTCCGCACCAAACTTCGCAACAGCCACAACAACCCTCTCCTTCATCTCCAGCGCCACTATTCAGATGAAAGCCTTCCAGGAGCAACAGGCTTCTATTTCTCAAGCCCAGCTCAACAAAGGATTCATTCTTCTGCTGATGAGATCAGCTCCCTCAATCACTCACCCAGTATAAGCTCATCTGATGAGAGTTACAGTAGGACCACCGATGCAGATGCTTCGCCATCTCCTTCCCCTCCCCCTCATGCCACAGCTGGTGACCATGCATCCACACAGCAATGGCTTTATCCTTCTGACATCCAGGTGGACCCTTCATCCTCTCTAGAGAACTCGCCAAGAGCTTCTCTTGACTATATTCCCCCTCACTGTTACCTTCCTGGTGCTGGTGGCAATCATAACAATAACCCCAGTGGTGGTGGTCAGTCTGGTGGGGGAAGAATCTCTAATATAACATCATCTCAGGATTTGCCTCCACCAAACCTGTCATCATCACAGTGCTTTTCCCCTTCCAGTCACCCGCCAACTAGTCGAAGTAGGAACAATGCTTCCTCTGCGTCAGGTGTAGGTATAGGTAGTAATGGTTCAGGAGCCACAAGACACGACTGGAGCCTCTCTCCAGCTCGCCATCGCACAGGAGATGGGAGCAGTGAGCATTCTAGCACCACCAACTCCCGCAGCAGAGGTACCAAATCAACAGTGGCAACCAACACAGAAACTCTTCCTCCTGCTACATTACTAGCTCTCGCTGCTGCCAGCAATACAATGGACTCTGCATGCTGCAGCCCACTGCCACGTTCTATTGATGGGCAGGATTCTTACAAGGGTGACAGCTGTGGCAGCTTTGAATACATAGGGCATCGAAGTGCACTGAAACATGCAGCTGAAAAGCCTCCAGGGATACATAGGGCATCTAGTGCAAATGGCGAACGTTGTCATAGTACATGTAGTGGCAAGTCTCCTAGTAGGAATCTGAAACAGCTTCATAATCAGGACAAGAAACAAGGTGGGGCTAGTGGGGCTAGTGCGAGTGTTAAAACTGTGCCAAGTGATTCGGCTTTAGTGTCACCTGATGATAACGTTGGAGCTAAGGTTGCAGGTGCAGTGAAACAGCCTTCAGTTAGTGATAGTTTGGGTGAAAGGGAACATCTGCCTGGATATGGAGATGATGTTGAGGAAGAAAATTCACGTGCAACATCCACAAGTGAGAGATCATCCAAAAAGGATTGTTCTAGTCAGACAGATAGGAAAGATATGTTGTCTAGAAGTCATCGACGACATAACTCTTCTGCGGGTTGTGCAGGAGGTACGGGGGGGACCAAAGTAGAAGCACACTCCCCACTCTCATCATCAATAAATACACGATCCCTTGGTGCAGATGGTATGGGTTTGGCTTTGGCAGGTAAACTCACATCTCCCATTGTTGAAATGGGTTCCAAATATCATTACCAAGGTGCAGCGGCTGTTATAGCGAAAATACCCAACTTTGAACGTGAGATTCAGAAACTTCTTGAAGACCAAAACCTTCTCAAGAACATTCCACCAAAATGTGAGAAAACACATCAAAATAAGGAGATCATATCTCTTGAGGAGCTGAAGAATGTGAATCAAGTTTTGGCAGAATTGGGACATTCGAGCTATCTGCTGGAAAGGGATCCTGTTGTGGGCATGTTAGGAAGGTACGTACTAAACAAAAGTGATCATATGGTCAACAATGTTAATAATAACAATAACTCTTCAACACCTCAGCCCCCTCAACAAGTGGGATTGGCTGCTATCCAGGAGCTTGCACGACGCCAGCAAGATGAATTGAACAACATTGTAGATGTGACTGATAGAAATCAGACAGACTTTTGCTTCAGTTCATTGCTAGAGAATAAGATTGCTTTAAGCCAGCATCAGGTTCCTTCTACAACATGCATGCAGCAACATTGTGACAGGGAAAGCAGTAGGGAAGGTTCACTGAAACGGGGAAGAAATGGAATACCTTCATTGACGACAGTGGAGCAGAGTGGGGATAAACCCGAACTGAAAGCTTTGAAAATATGGAGAAAAACAGCAGCCATCAGTCCCCTGGACACCATAAGTGCTGGGGGAAATATTCTGCCACATGCAAATTCTCCTCCCCTGTCTGCCACAACTGAGACTAGGGGAAGTTGCCAAGGGGTACAGCGCTTTCGAAGTTTCAGGTAGGCCCTTTCAGGTTGATGAGTGTGGCTTCTCACATAGAATACAGTTTGTTAGAACAAAGTCTGGAGAGAGGGCATTTGTGCTTATTCATGTTTGTGTAGCAACTTACAGCATTTTGAACCTTTCTGATTTATTGTAGTTGAAACAATTCAAAGTTGGCACAGTTTAGGATTGCACATAACATGCATGAAGACAACCTCTTCCACAGAGGAAGTACCACTTACTAACAGCACAGTGAGACCTTGTAATACATATATGTAACAGGGACAGGTACAGGAGGCAGCCATGTTAAGTTCTAATTACTGGAACTGAAATTCACAGAACAAGCTGACTGGTTGCATTTCTTTTTTTTTTCATCCATGGAAGGGAAACTACTTCGGCTGCTGAATTAAATTACAATGTGTAATGTTTCCCTAATTGGAACATGCCCTCCCCCCCATCCCTGGTACATATGTGTAAACTAAATGTTCAAAAAGTGAAGTTAACACTTCAGTTGACAATTAACAATTTAACCTGTATCATATCAGCACTGAAAAGGAAGCAAATGGTTTTGTATTGGAAACACATGACACACACTGTCCTTAAAAATTTTGATAACAAAATGAAATAGTGGATAGTTGAGGAAAAGAGTAGCTCTTGCCCAAGATTGAATACATAGACACAGAGGCAGAGGGAAGGGCATGCCAAGTTATTTAGTTCATACCCAGAAACTTCTTTTTTGGAAATTCATCTAAACTGGACAGTAATTTGTAATCATGATCATTTCTGTCAGAGAAGGGTTGTCTTACCACAAAATTGTCTCCATTTTTCTCTATGGTCCCATAAGCTTCCTCCTGTATTTGAGCCTACCGTCTTTTATCATCCCCCACTTCAATACTCCAACTTGTCTTTGTTCTACCCAGTGATCATATGAACTTTTTTTTTGTATTACTCTGAGAGGAACCATTGTCATGTCACCCATTCTTAAAACATGTCCATACAGCTGTACCCACCAGTTAACCGACTTTCCTTATAGATGCTGTTAAACTTCCTGCTTCTTAATGCTGTGTAGAAACATCATCTCTTCTCTTTGTAATGTGTTTACATTTCTTATAATCTCTGTTCATATTTCTGTACTATAAGTTAAAAGTGACAGACAGTATCTTTTATATAACATAATTATGACTTCTTTTAAAGGTTCCCAGTTCCAAATATCTTTAACAAGCTGTCAAATTTCCCACTTTTGTTGATTCTGTATGCAATTTCTTCTTAAAAATTTCCATTTCCTAAATCTCTTTGTATCCAAGTGGAAACTGTGAAACTTTCATAGAAGTGTTGCTACATTTTATCTCTCTCTTCATCTAATTCTCATCATTCCACTTTTCTCCTAAATTTCTAAAAGTTTTATAACATTTATAGGTTATATTTTCCAGTCTTTTCTTATTCCCTTGCGTTAGAGCAACAACTGCCTACATCAGAGTGGTCTGGATTGCTCTTTCTGTCTCTTTTCTTCTGACATTGTCAGTGTGCCCCTAACCATGTTAAATAGTAATGGTGAGAGTATACTTCTGTTTCTGGATCCCTAATTTATCACTCTTATAGACTGGTTCTGAAAACTGAACATTAATTTGAATGGGACTTTTGGTGATACTCATAAAAATTTCTTCCTGCATGCTCCAACAAATTGACATCATGGGGTCATCTTTCAACTCTCTTCTGTTTATGGGTATTTGCTGTTTTAAGCACATTTTTATTAATTAGCCTTTCATGTAACACATTAAATGTTGCTCAAAAATGGGTATTTAAAATCAGAATTATTTTGTAAAAGTCGTTAATTGTTCGGAGTGGTTAGAAACATAAGTTACATCAGTGGATTAGTATGGTACACATGTAGGTGACAATGTATGGCCATGTGGCATGATTGAAAACTTGGACATTAACAAAACTGCAGAAAGGGTTGTTAGTGTGAGTAGAGTCACACTGTAAGTACCATAAAATATGTGTTATAAAGAGAATATTGAAAAGAAATTTATGAAGATTGTGCCACTGTATTAAGATAGAATGTTTTATGAAGCTTCATGTGAAATTAATATTTGTAAAATTCAGTTTTGTAATCTATACAGGTTAACTTGTGTTTGGACCTAAAAATAGTGACCGTAGATCAGAGGTTAGTGCATAATGTCATGTGTAAGGCGGTACACGAGACAAGAATGATGGGTTATAGTTCATATAATTGGATTTGTTGGCACTTTGGTTACAATCTCTCTTAATCACATTTATTACAGCACTATTGTTGATTTACACTTTATAATTCACTGTTACACACACACACACCTGCACGCGTGCACCCACAGGAAACAATTCTATTGTTGATGCAGACTGCACAGAAACACATCACATGATAGCTCGTCAGTCCATTGGTGTACTGAGTGTCGCCTAGCAATGAGCTGTAAACATTTGTCTTACTTGTATTGTTGTAGCGCACTCAACTGAAGGTTGTTTACCGGTTGTTGCCTAGAAATGCTCTGGCCATCCATGTTACATTGCTCCCTCCTTAAGGCTGTTCATCCCGAATAACCTAATGGTGTATCACAGTTCATTTTCTTCCGAGGGCTGTGCTTGCAACATCTTTTTCTCTGGTTCCGTGTTTCCTCTTATTGTTTGTTTTCTTTTTCTGGATTACGGTGACTCTCCATCTGGTACCACCTCTCCCTCCTTAAGGCCAGCTTGTCCCGAGCAGTTCTCTTATAAGGTTCTAGTCAGTTCAGGTTCTCACCATAATCCAAAGTTTTCTTCTTTTCTCTCTGTTTCCCTTTCCCCCTCCCTCTCCCCCCCCCTCTTAAACAACAACTGGAGTGGCTGATGCTCCCCCATATCCGGCTCTTCCTACACTAATTCTTCTTTTTCCGTTCTGGAGGGGGCCTCCATAATGTTCAGGTCATCATTCTTTGTAACCCGCTGGACGTTCTGACTACTTGTTTCACGATTTTCCCTCTGCAAATTTCATATAGGGTCTTCTTGTGCTTTCCTCCGCTTCCCAGGTGCAGTCACTGTTCTGGGCTCAACCCTCCAATGCCAGTCGCGGTTGGGTCCTTTATTCCCGTTTTGCATTGCAGGTCTTTCTAGCGTCTGTTCTCCATTTATCCTTTCTGAGTTTCCTGTTCAACACTGTCCCTGGTCCAGTATTTCCTGACAAAGTTTCGCTTGCGCCTTGCCACTCTTTCTGCTGGTGACCAATTCCTTCCATGGTCCACAATTTCCCTTGGTCAGATTTTTCATCAAGAAGTTTCTCTTGTGCCGTGCCACTGCTGCATGACAGGATATCTTCCTACAAGTGGCAGCCAACTTCCTCCGTGGTCCACAGTCTCCTCAGGTCAGTTCCTTTGGTTCTCTGTGTTGCCCTGCAGCTAGCTTCTCGCCCCTATGCTGCTTCTTCCGTCCTTTGACAGGTTTCACTACAGCATCATCCTTAGGAACCTCCCGATGTTCCAACTCAGACTCCATTTTCTTGGGATTTGCCATGAAATCCGTGGCATTGCTTGCTTCTCAATTGTCCTACATCTCTTTTCACTATTCATCCAGTTTGGGGGCTAGAGAAGCAAACTGTGTATCCATTATTTCTTTAATGTGTTTTTGGCCGGCTCATATTTCTTGTTTCATTTCCTCTGTCAGTTTTTGTATAGGCATTCATGTCCTCTTTGATTTCATATTTCATTTCTTTCACCTTTTCCTTCACTGTTTTAATATTGGCATCCATCCTGGCATCAGTTTTTGCCAGCAGGTATTCCATCTCCATAATGCATGATACAAGTACACGTTGCATTCCTAAATCCAATAATCTGATGAATCTGATCGAATCCATACCACTTCTAACATCAGTTGTCGCAAACTATGTTTTCTAGTTGCCAGGAGTTAATGGCTGCATGATTAGTGACACCAAATTGTCACATATTTACGGTCATAACCACTGCTGAAGAATCCAATATGATCTGAGCCTGGCACCAAATTGTCACATATTTACGGTCATAACCACTGCTGAAGAATCCAATATGATCTGAGCCTGGCACCAAATTGTCACATATTTACGGTCATAACCACTGCTGAAGAATCCAATATGATCTGAGCCTGGCACCAAATTGTCACATATTTACGGTCATAACCACTGCTGAAGAATCCAATACGATCTGAGCCACAAACTTCTGACACCAAAATGTCCCGTGTAGGGTGGTATGCATGACGAGAATGACAGGTTCTAGTTCACATGATAGGATTTATTGGCACTTCGGTTACAATCTCTTATAATCACACTTATCATAGTGCTATTGCTGATTTACAGTTTATAATTCACTGTTACACACACACTAGTCCTCTCCTGGTAATGCAATTAAAACTAAGGAACTAGCACTTCAAATCACTCCAGATATTACACATAAATAAAATCTTCAAATCACGCTTTAAATCCTCACAGGCTGACATCTGGTATTCTTCTATACTTGTGCTTCCAATTCAC